GACACCCCCAAGGCAACTGAACAATCCAAACCAACCATCACACACCGATCCCTCTGTTTCCACCCCCCGCACCACAGTTACAGTATTAGAACAGAAGTTGAAGGTTTGGTACACAAATGCAGATGGATTAACGAATAAACATGAGGAATGGCAAGAAAGAAGCAATGAGAAGTCCCCAGACATCATAGCCGTTACAGAAACAAAACTCACGGAGACAATAACAGATGCAATCTTCCCACCAGGATACCAGATCATGAGGAAAGATAGAAGGGGCAGGGGGGAGGTGGGGTTGCTCTGCTCGTAAAAAACAGATGGAAATTCGAGAAAATGGAAGGCATAGATGAGACGAGAGAAAGAGACAACATAGCAGGTACACTTCAGTCTGGGGAACACAAAGTGGTCATTGCAGTGATGTATAATCCACCACAGAACTGCAGGAGGCCAAGAGAGGAATATGAAGAGAGCAACAGAGCAATGGTGGACACACTTGCTGAGGTGGTAAGAAGAGCTCATTCCAGCAGAGCAAAGTTGCTGGTTATGGGGGATTTCAACCACAGGGAGATCGACTGGGAAAACCTGGAGCCACATGGGGGTCCCAAAACATGGAGAGCCAGGATGTTGGACGTGGTGCTGGAAAACCTCATGCACCAACATGTTAAGGACACTACCAGAGTGAGAGGGGAGGATGAACCAGCAAGATTGAACCTTGTGTTCACCCTGGGCAGCTCAGACACTGAGGACATCAAGTATGAGAGTCCCCTAGGAGCTAGCGACCACGTGGTTCTGTGCTTTGAATACATAGTAGAGCTGCAAGTGGAGAGAATAACAGGAGTTGAATGGGAAAAGCCTGACTATAAAAGAGGGGACTACATAGGGTTGAAGAACTTCCTGCGGGAGGTCCAGTGGGACAGAGAACTGGCAGGAAAGCCAGTAAATGAAATGATGGAATATGTAACAACAAAATGCAAGGAGGCAGTGGAAAAGTTTATTCCCAAGGGCAACAGTAACAACGGGAAGACCAGAATGAGCCCCTGGTTTACCCGACGGTGTAAGGAGGCAAAAACAAAGTGCAATAGAGAATGGAAAAAGTACAGAAGGCAGAGAACACACGAAAATAAGGAGATCAGTCGCAGAGCCAGGAATGAGTATGCACAGGTAAGGAGGGAGGCCCAGCGACAGTATGAAAATGACATAGCATCGAGAATCAAGACTGACCCGAAACTGTTGTATAGCCACATCAGGAGGAAGACAACAGCCAAAGACCAGGTGATCAGATTAAGGACAGAAGGTGGAGAACTCACAAGAAATGATCAGAGGTATGTGAGGAGCTGAACAGGAGATTTAAGGAAGTTTTTACAGTAGAGACAGGAAGGGCTGTGGGAAGACAGCACAGAAGGGAACATCAAGAGGGAATATACCAACAAGTGTTGGATGACATACGAACAACTGAGGAGGAGGTGAAGAAGCTCTTAAGTGACCTTGACACCTCAAAGGCGATGGGACCGGACAACATCTCCCCATGGGTCCTTAGAGAAGGAGCAGAGATACTGTGCGTGCCTCTAACCACAATCTTCAACACATCCCTTGAAACTGGGCAACTACCTGAGAAATGGAAGACAGCTAATGTAGTCCCCATATTTAAGAAAGGAAACAGAAACGAGGCACTAAACTACAGACCTGTGTCTCTGACATGTATTGTGTGCAAAGTCATGGAGAAGATTATCAGGAGGAGAGTGGTCGAACACCTGGAAAGGAACAAGATTATAAATGAAAATCAGCATGGGTTCATGGAAGGCAAATCCTGTATCACAAACCCCCTGGAGTTTTATGACAAGGTAACAGAAGTAAGACACGAGAGAGAGGGTTGGGTAGATTGCGTTTACCTAGACTGCAGGAAGGCCTTTGACACAGTTCCCCACAAGAGATTAGTGCAGAAGCTGGAGGATCAGGCGCATGTAAAAGGGAGGGCACTGCAATGGATAAGGGAATACCTGACAGGGAGGCAGCAACGAGTCATGGTACGTGAAGAGGTATCACAGTGGGCGCCTGTTACGAGCGGGGTCCCACAGGGGTCAGTTCTAGGACCAGTGCTATTTTTGATATATGTGAACGACATGATGGAAGGAATAGACTCTGAAGTGTCCCTGTTCGCAGATGACGTGAAGTTGACGAGAAGAATTAAATCGGATGAGGATGAGGCAGGACTGCAAAGAGACTTGGACAGGCTGGACATGTGGTCCAGTAACTGGCTTCTCGAATTCAATCCAGCCAAATGCAAAGTCATGAAGATTGGGGAGGGGCAAAGAAGACCGCAGACAGAGTATAGGCTAGGTGGACAAAGACTACAGACCTCACTCAGGGAGAAAGACCTTGGGGTGACCATAACACCGAGCACATCACCGGAGGCACACATCAACCAAATAACTGCTGCAGCATACGGGCGCCTGGCAAACCTGAGAATAGCGTTCCAATACCTTAATAAGGAAGCGTTCAAGACACTGTACACTGTGTATGTTAGGCCCATACTGGAGTATGCAGCACCAGTCTGGAACCCACACCTAGTCAAGCACGTCAAGAAGTTAGAGAAAGTACAAAGGTTTGCAACAAGGCTAGTCCCATTAGCACTGTAAGTAAAAATGAATATTAACCCTTTGAGCGTCCAGAGACCTCTCCCAAACTCGTTCTCAGGGTCAAAAAAAAAAAAAAAAAGAAATGATAGGGAATCTTTTTCCGATCATAATGACACCAAAAGTATAAAATTTGATGGAAAACTTACGGAATTATGCTCTCGTGAAATTAGTGGTCTCAAAGTGGGCGATTTCGCCCACTTTGAGCCCTATTTTCCGCTAATTCCAATGCTGCAATTGACTAAAATCATAGCAATTTCCCTAGAACTCCATTTGTTCTATCAATTGAGTACAAGAATCTGCCCATTTATCGATTTCAACTACCCAATAAAGTGGTCAGAAATTGGCAATTTAGGCAATTTCACACAAATTTCAAAAGATGCCAATTTGAAAACAGGGTCCAGAATAAACAAGACAGACATTCATGGCACTAAAATAGCATTTTATCTGTTCAGTAGTCACGTCTCTAGGCCCCTCTTATATTACTTTTGATTTCCATTTTGAATTTTTATTCTCACAGAAAATAGAAGGTTTTCTGTTATGTATACTACTGCATCATTGTAAAACGGTATAAATGATATAAGCGCACTTGTGAAAGAATATCAGATTCACCATTTGATGTGTATTTGATGCATGGCTTGATTTGTTTACTCTTGAACACCGGCAAAAATCGATCATTTTTGCTACTTTGAGCTCAATTTCAAGGTACTTGTCATTGAGAAACCAATCAAAATAATTTCTAATTCTGTAATATATCTTCCATTCTATCAAATGAGACCAAGGAAACGAGAAAACAACCATAAATACCATACAAAAATACACTAGAAAGTCACTGCTTTAAACCAAAAACACATTTTTTTTTATCTCATTATACACAGTGTGCTTCAGGATTTTTTTATACTGCACACAATGACCACACAGACCCATTCTTTCATATGTAGGCCTGCCAGCTTTCTTCCACCAGATTTGAAGGCGCTAGAATTTAGGCGTACAAGTACGTGACTGACCCTGGCTGCAATGACGTAATTGTACGTAACTGACCCTCAAAGGGTTAAGAGTGAATAACACAGAATTTACTGACAACACATATATTTTCAAATTGTGCCTGTGTGGTGTTTGAAGAATTCTGTGTGATATAGCAGATAAAGTTTGTTAAGATGGCAGTTTCTTGAGAGTAAAATATAGGATGGCCACAAAAGCACTCCCTGATTTCAAACAGGTATAACATGCAACTTTATTGTAATAATCTTTCATGGTTAGTAGCTTCAGATGCAGAATTTCATTCAGTTTCATGTGTTATAGGGTAGCATTAAAGGCACTCAATGTGCACCCCTCTGGTTGCTCGGAAAACATCGATGCGATAGTCCAGTTCGGTCCAGACGCTCTGCAGCATATCTGGTGTTATCATGTGAACTGCTTCAATGAATGAAATTTTCAGCTCCTCCAGGGTTGCAGGTACTGGTGGTACGTAAACTGTGCTCTTCACGTACCCCCAAAGAAAGAAGTCATAAACAGGTCCGGTGACCTCTGCAAGTGGTCTGTGAGGTCACTGGACCTAACTGTTTGTGACTTCTTTCTTTGGGGGTACGTGAAGAGCACAGTTACATACCACCACTACCTGCAACCCTGGAGGAGCTGAAAATTTCGATCACTGAAGCAGTTCGCATGATAACACCAGATATGCTGCAGAGCATCTGGACCTAACTGGACTATCACATCGATGTTTGCCAAGCAACCAGAGGGGCGCACATTGAGTGCCTTTAATGCTACCCTATACCACATGAAACTGAATGAAATCCAGCATCTGAAGCTACTAACTGTGAAAGATTATTACAATAAAGTTACATGTTATACCTGTTTGAAATCAGGGAGTGTTTTTGTGGACACCCTGTATATTATCATGGGTAATTCTTGTAAATATCAGTTTATAGAGAATCACAGTTATGAAAAGGCCATTTTTTTAAACTAGTTTATTACAAAAGAGTTGTGAAAAAATATAATCTATACTGTTTATGCACCTATATTGGATGAGGCTAAATTAGGGCAAAAAAGAATAGGCTGAAAAATCTGTGACATTAGAAAGTTGTGGATTCAATGAGGCCTCTAGGAATATAATACCTGAAAATCTTTAGGAAGCATTGTACATAGCAAAATTTCTATTCTGTCTTACCCTTGAGTAAAGCAGGGTGACACATACCTTACAACTACTGGAGATGAATAGCAAGTTGTGCTTTGTAAGTACTGCTTGTGGACTCAGTCAAAAAAGTCTATGTTAAATATCATAACAAAAGTGCAGTGCATTATGGTAAAATGTTATCTTAAATCTATGGAATGTGCAGTGCATTGCAGGTGACTGTGGACACCCTGTCTCACCCTGGGTCCATCCACAGCATTGACGAGTGAATCCACCTGGAGTGGCGGGAGGTGTGCTGCAGGATTCTGGGAGGTAGAAGTGGTGGGTGGCGCTGGGGTGGTAGTAGGCAGTGGTACCACGGAGCCCATCTGCAGAGATCACCAAATATTTGTTTGTCTGCTTGTCTCTATTATTAACTATTTTCCTTCCATCCTCATGAGATGGTTTAATTGCAAAAATACAACTAAAGGTTAATGGCCATCCCAGACAATTTGTCATTTTGAAATCTCAAAATACAAATAGAAAGAAAAAAAAAGTTCATCATGGTATCATATGTGCTATGAGCATTATATCCGGTACATAAAGTATCCAGTGCATACAGCCACTTGAAACTAGAAAATCTCACACCATTCCCAAAGGTGCAAAGTTATCTCCACAATTATACAATATTTATATAGGTTGATTAATAATTAAAATATCACATAAAAGAGAGAGCTAGTGAGTAAGAATAACAAATATTCCATTTTCATTAATTAAATCATGTTATTTACATTCATAATAACAAAATAGAACATAGGATCTAAACTCTGTTAATTCTGCATCTTGTCCTGAATGATTAAAAGTCTAATTACTTGTTAAACTAAGGAATGGCAAAATGAAAAAAATAATTAGATTAAGATAATGACTTCAAATGACAAAATGCTTATAACATACTACAGAATATCATTAATAGAAATATGTATTACACACGAAAAAATATACAACACAACTTCTTAAAACATATACTGTAAAGGATCATGCCATAGCAACAGATGGCACATGGCAAATTACACACAACTTGCAATGATGCAATAAGATCACAGTAAACAGGTAATATCACAATATGCAAAATAACCACAGTGAAAAACAGTAAATTTCCAAATGCTTTCATGATTTCTCACATTATTAAGGAATAATAAAAATAATAGGAGAACAGAAGATTTATGAGATTGAGATTTCACTTCACTTATGACCTCACACACAGCCCTATGCTAGTGTAAATATCATAACAGGAAACTGGAAGATATCAAGTAAAGACACAGTATCAAAGGGAAGAAGGAAAAAAAGCAGTCACAGTATGTGTGCCATGACCAAATGGTGACAGGCATCATACACAGAAGATTCAGTCAGGCAGTGGGGGTATAAACACCAAGGACAGGGCTACTAGTTTTCCATTAAACACAGCCCACTGTATAAATATGCTAGGAAAATTGTAGACAGATTTTTTCATCAAAAATGTTCTGCTAATGCACTGCCACACCTTTGAGAGACAAGGATCCAAAACAATACTTTGGAAATCTTTGCAAATCAATGAATGTTATTGTGGCTTTATTCAATAAAATTACCATAATGTTTATTTTCTAAGAAAAGGGAAATTATATGGTGACAAAGGAGTATGAATTACAGCTTAGCAGCAGGACGTGTAGCCATATAAACAGCGAATGATGCCATTAAAGATTAAAAATGTGGTATAACAGAATTTTAAAACTCTGTGAAATCACAGCAAATGTGAAACCATGAGAAATGTATTACCTATAGTAACTAGATAGGAAATACACATGCTTGTGATAGGACCAAAAAGTGCAAAGCATCAGTTGTAGAGTACAGAATGTTTTCATGATATGGAACATGAGAACTTCCACAACATATTAACAAAAAGGAATTATGAAGCACGCTCAAAAAAGACATGCACGAATACTCACAGCAATATACTGCCAGCCAGCCCCAATCCGCACCAACATTACCTCCTCATCTAGTATGAAGGCCAGGGTACCTACAGGTGACATTTCACTCATCTGTATAAAGAGAAACAACTGGTTAGTCCAAAAAGTTAATTTTACTGTGATTTTAGGATACTGCAAGAATTATATGTAAAAATAAATTGATTAAATTATTATTATTACTTTTATGCATTGTGGAGTTCAATAACTCCAGAATATACAAAGCCTCCTGCTCAAGTATATTTACAGTGTTCAATGCTACAAATACTGCCTAACACTAGTGGTTACTCTTGTCAGCCTAGTTCATTATCAGTGGTAGGATATCATTAGCCATAATTTCCACTAGAGAACCTTGTAGAACCTGCCAACCAAGTCAGCATCTTCTGGGATAGGTTTGGTCATGTCATGTTTAAGATCACTCAAATGTCCTGTTCTTGATCACTTGATCTTGTGTCAATTGAGTGTTATTTGACTCATTAAATTGTAATAGCATGATTGAAAATGAATCACAGAACAGGTGGGGCAAGCCAGTCCTAAACCTAGCAGGCCAGTGTACTATCCATTGGATCAAGCTCCTGTTATCAAATCAAATAAAATAAAATCAAGTTTATTCTCTATAAGGATTACAATGCTGAGTTTACAGAATTTGGATATTGTGTGGTTTGCATGTTTTAAAATACTAATTACAGAGGGGGCCACTAGAACACCTAGCATGGCTAGGCATTTCGGGCAGACTTAGATTAATTCTTAACTTTAAAATATTACAAATTATGAGGTAAGTTGGTATTATGGCTGAGTGACTAAATACTAGTTTGTGAGTTTAGCAATGTGAATGCTTTTGTTTTTGCACAATACATAGTTTCAGTATTGGAGTATCACAGGCCAACTTATGACTAGTTAGGATTCATTATGGCCCATATGACGGAAGGAGGGATAGAGGCCATCCCAAGTAGAGATGAAGGAAGGAGATACAGGAGGTTTTGAGTGCTAGGGGCTTCAGCAGGCTTATGTGAGCATGTTAGATCAGAATACATGGAGATAAGTGGTGTTTATGGCTTGATGTGCTGTTGGAGTGAAAGTAAGTTAACATTTATGAAGGTATTCAGGGAAACCAGGATGGAAATGAATCCTGGAGGTGGGAAGTACAGTGCCTGCACTCTGAAGGAAAAGTAGGAATGATGCAGTCTGGAGGGTCATTTGAACTCTGATGTCTGAACACTTTTGGGAAGGCAGCTTTTGAGTGAGTGATGGTGAGTCTATTTCTTATTTTGTAGGTCATCCTCCCTTGGTGGGAGACAGCCAGTGAGTTAAAATAAAAAACTGCTACATTATCATCATCATTGTTGTTTTTTATCTTTATTACCGTAAAATATAAATATAAATGCATAAGTTGTTTTCAAATGCTGTATAGTAAATGTATTTGTAGCAAATAATTAGAAATAGCATTTGAGTTGAGATTCATCTTTTACCACTGACCTTCAGCATAGAAGCCTTGTCTGGGAAGGTGACTGAACCAGGTACTATGCTGGTGGGTGGACCTGCCAACTGTTCCCCATCCTTACCAGGAGGACCTGGCATACCAGGGGGACCTGCAAATACACCAAAACAAGTCATGGTAGACATGGTATACATTTTCTGTTCAAATCCAACTGAAAGTAACATATGTGATTTAGTTATTTGGAGGAATAATATAAAGGATACTTTATTGTACCTCCTTAATATCCAAGAATTTTACACACTGGAATTCCACAGGTCATGTTATAACGCTTTACCTGGAATATACCTGGAGGGTGTTTGGGAGTCAATGCCCCTGTAGTCTGGTCCATGACCAGGCCACGCAGTGAATCACAGCCTGATCAACAAGGCTGTTACTGCTGGCCGCATGCAAACTAACGTATGAACCACAGCCCAGCTGGTCAAGTACTGACTTCAGATGCCTGTCCAGCTCCCTCTTAAAGACAGCCAGGAGTCTACTGGTAATTCCCCTCATGTATGCTAGGAAGCAGCTGAACAATCTTGGGCCCTTGACACTTACTGTGTTGTCTCTAGTGTACTCATGGCACCCCTGCTTTTCATTGTGGGGATGTTGCACTGACTGCTGAGTCTTTTGCTTTTATAGAGAGTGATATGAGGTATAAAAAACTATTTTTTTGTACTGTTACATGTATTACTAGACCCTTATGAACATCCATCATTTGGTAAGTAATGGGAGCCCCTAACCACAAAATAAAGGCGGAAACCAGACATGTAAGAAAAGGAAGTTTCTTCAACCATGAAATGAAATGCAACAATGTAATAAAGTTACTGTGTTATCAGTGCTTTCATGTTCATAACAAATCCCCTTATTTTCTTCTTAAACAGGAAGGAGAAATCAAGTATCTGAATCTTCATGCAAATATGACAAAGTTGGCATAGAAGTGAGCTATGCAGGAATGTGAGGAAGGCCAAACCTGGAAGAGGACAAGTCATTTGAAACTAGGCCAGAGAAACTCTTGGGAAGTAAGCAGGTACATGTACTAATTTTCAATAACAGTTTCTGTAAAGGCAAACCAGAAATCAAGGAAGGGCTGGCCTTGGAAATGTCATCCAGTAATTAGCAAAACTCGAAAGGTCCCTTATTAGAAGCAATATCACTAGGATTTTGATTGGAAATAATGCATTTTGTATGTCAGTACGATCCAACAAAGCACTTATCTGAGCCACAAAATTTCCCATAAAATGCTCAAAGGAACATCTTTCACGTCGGCACAGAGTCAGGTAGTTAGCAGCGAATGAGATCTGTTCCTTGGTGTTGATAACGGTGAACGATTATTATCCACAAACTGCTGTGATGTGGATGGCTGAGACTGAAGAGTGGAAGCAGCAGCACTGAGGGTATATCTAGTCCTTTTCTGAATATATATGTCAAATCCTATGGGAAGAACACATTGAAGTAGCATCGAAACTATTAAAATATCAACAATACTTGCATCATGTAACAAGAGCACAAACAAGAGAGTGGGTGAGATGTTATCAACAAATTATGTTGAAAATAAGAAAAAGTTTTGGAGTGAGATAAATAAGCTGAGGAAGTCTAGGGAACAAATGGATTTGACAGTTAAAAATAGGAGAGGAGAGTTATTAAATGGAGAGTCAGAGGTATCAGGAAGATGGAGGGAATATTTTGAGGAATTACTAAATGTTGATGAAGAAAGGGAAGCTATGATTTTGTGTATAGGGCAAGGAGGAATAACATCTTGTAGGAATGAGGAAGAGCCAGTTGTAAGTGTGGGGGAAGTTCGTGAGGAAGTGGGTAGAATGAAAGGGGGTAAAGCAGATGGGATTGATGAGATAAAGATAGAAATGTTAAAAGCAGTTGGGGATATAGTTTTGGAGTGGTTGGTGCTATTATTTAATAAATGTATGGAAGAGGGTAAGGTACCTAGGGATTGGAAGAGAGCACGTATAGTTCCTTTGTATAAAGGCAAAAGGGACAAAAGAGAGTGCAAAAATTATAGAGGAATAAGTCTGTTGAGTATATCTGGTTAAGTGTATGGTAGAGTTATTATTGAAAGAATTAAGAGTAAGATGGAGAGAGTAGGATGGCAGATGAACAAGGAGGTTTTAGGAAAGGTAGGGAGTGTGTAGACCAAGTGTTTACAGTGAAACATACAGGTGAACAGTATTTAGACAAGGCTAAAGAGGCTTATGTGGCATTTATGGATTTGGAAAAGGCGTATGACAGGGTGGAGAGGGGGGCAATGTGGCAGATGTTGCAGGTGTATGGTACAGGAGGTAGGTTACTGAAATCAGTGAAGAGTTTTTACAAGGATAGTGAGGCTCAGGTTAGAGTATGTAGGAGAGAGGGAGATTATTTCCCAGTAGACAAGGATGTGTGATGTCATTGTGGTTGTTCAATATATTAAAGATGGGGTTGTAAGAGAAGTGAATGCGAGGGTCTTTGCAAGAGGTGTGGAGTTAACAGATAAAGAATCAAACACAAAGTGGGAGTTGTCACACTTGCTCTTTGCTGATGACACTGTGCTTTTGGGAGATTCTGAAGAGAAGTTGCAAAGGTTGGTGGATGAATTTGATAGGGTATGTAAAAGAAGAAAATTAAAAGTGAATATAGGAAAGAGTAAGGTGATGAGGATAAGAAAAAGATTAAGTGATGAAAGATTGGATATCAGATTAGAGGGAGAGAGTATGGAGGAGGTGAATGTATTCAGATATTTGGGAGCGGACGTGTCAGCAGATGGGTCTATGAAAGATGAGGTGAATCATAGAAATGATGAGGGGGAAAAGGGTGAGTGGTGCACTTAGGAGTCTGTGGGGATAAAGAACTTTGTCCGTGAAAGCAAAGAGGGGAATGTTTGAGAGCATAGTTATACCAACACTCTTATATGGGTGTGAAGCACGGGTGATGAATGTTGCAACGAGGAGAAGGCTGGAGGCAGTGCAGATGTCATGTCTGAGGGAAATGTGTGGTGTGAATATAATGCAGAGAATTCATAGTTTGGAAATTAGGACGAGGTGCGGGATTACCAAAACTAGAGGGCTGAGGTGAGGTTGTTGAGGTGGTTTGGACATGTAGAGAGAATGGAATGAAATAGAATGACTTCGAGAGTGTATAAATCTGTAGTGGAGGGAAGGCGGGGTAGGGGTTGACCTAGGAAAGGTTGGAGGGAGGGGGTAAAGAAGGCTTTGTGTGTAAGGGGCTTGGACTTCCAGCAAGCATGCTGTTGGAGTGTGAGCAAAGTAACATTTATGAAGGGATTCAGGGAAACTGGCAGGCTGGACTTGAGTCCTGGAGATTGGAAGTACAGTGCCTGCACTCTGAAGGAGGGGTGTTAATGTTGCAATTTTATAACTGTAGTGTAAAGCACGTCTCTGGCAAGACAGTGATGGAGTGAATGATGATGAAAGTGTTTCTTTTTCGGGCCACCCTGCCTTGCTGGGAATCGGCTGATGTGTTAATAAAAAAAATAATAAATAAAATACCTGCATCACTGAAAAAGTCTAAGTCTCTGCTTAAATCCACTGTAGAATCAGAGAAACATACTGAACAAGTTATCCCACTTGCTCACAGTCTATGAGTAAGGCAACAGAAATGTTAATTACAGTCCTCCAGAATGGAGGAGCAAATTGATTGTCAACATAAACAATTAATGTTCTACATATTGTTGTTAAGAAATGTGTTGAGCCAAGACAGGGGGTTGAATGGCACAGGAAGAAGCATGCATACGAAGTGGTGCAGAAAATGCAGGTATGCAGGAGTATAAACAGGTGAAGTACATGCCAAAAAATAATGAAAGAGACTAGTGCTGGTGCTAAAAAGGTATACAGTTAAATTGGTATTCCAATAAGTGATTTGTGAAACCACAGAATTTATGGCTTAATGTCTGTTATCCATGGCTAGATTTCTGGTTCTATTACTCACATGCATTATTATACCTTTATTTATAAGTCTGGCACCTAGACCTGCAAATCTTTGTAAGATATTATGGCAATATCCGTTAGACTAGCTCCTGTATAAATTAGATTCACTTATAACTAATAGAACTACTGTACAACTATGATAAATTTCTTTAGTGTTAACCCTTAAATGGTCCAAACGTATATATACGTTTTTTCAACATCTGAAAGTATGTAAAAAAATGTAGATCTTCTTTTTTGTTTTACATTTGAAAACGTGTAAAAAAAACTTTTATCCACATTTTTTTTGTTATATTTGAAAATATGTAAAAAAAAGGTAGATCTACTTTTGTAGCACTACGAATTTGAACTTTGATCTCTTTGGACCATTTAAGGGTTAAGTAGTCAGTAAGCCATTAAATTAAGTTGGCCCATAATGCCTAGGCATAATAGAGGCTCTCTTTGCACTGCAACCCATTTTTGTGAATACATAATCTCAATGTACTACTTGCAAAGAAATAAATAAATTTGAATTTGAATTTGAATAATTGGTTTCCAGGTCTTCAACTTTTGTACAGTACAGTAAAAGTCTAATAAAACAGATTAAGAGGGTATACAAATAACCTGCACATAGGAAAGAGGAGCTTATGACAACATTTCGGTCAGACCTGGACCATTTACAAAGTCACATTAACAAAAACGAGAGAAGGAGGGACTATATATAGGCCAGCAGACAGGGATGGGACAAGAGAGGTACAGTGGACCCTTGATTTTCATGATTAATCTGAAAACCCAAATTCATGAAAACCAAAACCATTTTCCCCATAAGAAATAATGTAAATCCAATTATTCCATTCCAGACACCCAAAAGTATTACCAAAAAATAATTTTTTTAGAGATTAAATATAGATTTACATACAGAAAAAAATGACAAATCAACATAAAGCAATAATAACATTGCACTTACCTTTACTGAAGACTCTTGTTGGTGTATGGAAGATGGGGCGGAGGGGAGAGGGAGAGGACTGATCATTGTTTGGAAGGAAAATCCCTTTCCATAAAGACTTCAGGTACCAAGTCCTTATTGGGTGGCTACTTCCCTTCTTTGTTTTTTACTGGCACTAGGACCAGCTTGAGAGTCAATGGACCCCTGTTGCACAAAATTTTTTTCCAGAGGGCTCTGTTTCTGGTATCT